CTTATTACAGTAGAAATTTCCTAGGTATTTTGTTGTATCGGTAATTGAATTATTAATTTGATGCATTTTCCTTTCTCAGAAAATTTGTATTGTAATAAGTTCCCTACATCGATGTCAAGCTTGTATTATCAAGGATAGCATTTTGAAATGCATTACTAAATCGTTCCATTAGTGTCCTGCTCATTGGAAAATCCTTTATTGTCTATTTAACGTTCCGTTTCAATATTCGTTTATAACTTTATAATAAAAAATTTCTGATTATTTAATGTCCAATTTCAATTTAATTTCAACTCAATCTCTAATATGATTCGGGCATAAATTCTGATCTACAATAGGTGATTTAAACCTTAAGCTATAAGAAATGGACGAATCATAGTCGAAGAATAGGAGAATAATCGACTATGATTGGTCAATTTCTTATGACTTAAGACTTAAATCACCTATTATAGACCGGAACCAAGGCAACCAATCGAATGAAACGCATTTTAAATAATCGTCTCATGTGCAGCAGCCCTTCGTCGTATACGTTCGTCGTTGCTCGGTTCGTTATAACGTCACTTCCGGAGAGAGCCAAGTAGCGTTAGGGAAGTCGTGTACCATACTTATCTCATCATTTCCAGAACGATTCGAATACTGTAGAATAACGTAGAAAAGAGAAGAAACGGCTTTCCGTGTTTCTGCTTCAATCCTCTTGTTCATCAAAACAAAGAGAAAAAAGAATTATATAGAGAGATAACAACAAAAAAAAAAAATAAATGCAGAGTGCCAGTATGGTCGAGCAACTCGGTTTGGGTCCCGAGGTTCGCGAGCTCAAGTTAGGTCCTAGTTTTACCAGTAATAGCTCCAAATTTCATACCTTAAAATGTAAGTTAAACGGTCTCGAGACAATTCTTTTCACTATACGCTTTGTCTCAATTCAGAGAGATGTTTGATAGAGAATGCATACAATGCTCATAGAATATTTAATCTCGTGTACAATTCTTCCAGATGATTTCAAGCCTGCAAGCGTCGACGACTCTAAGGTGGCCCGAGTCGATGTAGGTTCAGACAACACGATAACGGTCACTGTACCTCATCTGGATGGCGCTGGTACTCCACATACTG